TCCATCCATCCAGGCGACAGTCATTCACAGCTGGCCACCGTTTCCGTCAGCCGCTATTTTATGCCAGGTAGGCATTGGAACATCACGCTATTCAGACGACAACATTCTTCCGGACTTCATCTTCTGACGTACACATTCCCTTGACCTAAACGAGACTGCCTCTGAAACCTTTCTCCGCTATTATATAGCCCTCTGATCTGTCATGTTCTCGAATATTCTGGATAAATTCATTCTCACGAATTCCCCACCGTTGAAAGTCGTGTCTGGCCCATGATAATTCGGATTTCACACGAAACCTGCCAGTCAACGTTCATGGTTCACGTTAACAATCATGTTTCACATAAAACCTGACTTTCAGATGTCTCTCATAAAACTCAAGACATAAATCTCGTGTTATCTCAGTCAGTCAAAACATTCGCCTTACATTTATTACTGACGTCATCTATCGGGCATAAATTAATGGGGAGAAAATGACTCACTACATAGAGTGATGACTGCAGACGTAGAGTGATGATTGCAGACGTAGAGTGATGACTGCAGACGTAGAGTGATGACTGCAGACGTAGAGTGATGACTGCAGACGTAGAGTGATGACTGCAGACTTGGCAAGCTGCTTTTAAAACGGATAGAGTCAATGATATCATCAAATACCTCCATTCACAGACATCAGAATGTGTACCATACCTGGATTTACAGATTTCAGAAGGTGTACCATACCTGGAGTTACAGATATCAGAATGTGTACCATACCTGGAGTTACAGATATCACAAGGTGTACCATACCAGGAGTTACAGTTATCAGAATGTGTACCATACCTGGAGTTACAGATATCAGAAAGTGTACCATACCAGGAGTTACAGATATCAGAAGGTGTACCATACCAGGAGTTACAGTTATCAGAAGGTGTACCATACCAGGAGTTACAGATATCAGAATGTGTACCATACCAGGAGTTACAGATATAAGAAGGTGCACACTACATGGAGTCACATACATTAGACGGTGTACACTACATGGAGTCACATACATTAGACGGTGTACACTACATGGAGTCACATACATTAGACGGTGTACTATACCTGGAGTCACATACATTAGACGGTGTACTATACCTGGAGTTACATACACTAGACGGTGTACTATACATGGAGTCACATACATTAGACGGTGCACTATACCTGGAGTTACATACATTAGATGGTGTAGTATACCTGGATTCACATACATTAGACGGTGTACTATACCTGGAGTCACATACATTAGACGTTGTACTATACCTGGAGTCACATACATTAGACGGTGTACTATACCTGGAGTTACATACATTAGACGGTGTACTATACCTGGAGTCACATACATTAGACGGTGTACTATACCTGGAGTCACATACATTAGACGGTGTACTATACCTGGAGTCACATACATTAGACGGTGTACTATACCTGGAGTCACATACATTAGACGGTGTACTATACCTGGAGTTACATACATTAGACGGTGTACTATACCTGGAGTCACATACATTAGACGGTGTAGTATACCTGGAGTCACATACATTAGACGGTGTACACTACATGGAGTCACATACATTAGACGGTGTACTATACCTGGAGTCACATACATTAGACGGTGTAGTATACCTGGAGTCACATACATTAGACGGTGTACACATGGAGTCACATACATTAGACGTGTACACATCACATACATTAGACGGTGTACTATACCTGGAGTCACATACATTAGACGGTGTACTATACATGGAGTCACATACATTAGACGGTGTACTATACATGGACACATACATTAGAGGTGTAGTACACCTACATACATTAGACGGTGTACTATACATGGAGTCACATACATTAGACGGTGTAGTATACCTGGAGTCACATACATTAGACGGTGTACTATACATGGAGTCACATACATTAGACGGTGTACTATACCTGGAGTCACATACATTAGACGGTGTACACTACATGGAGTCACATACATTAGACGGTGTACTATACCTGGAGTCACATACATTAGACGGTGTACTATACATGGAGTCACATACATTAGACGGTGTACTATACATGGAGTCACATACATTAGACGGTGTACTAGTCATACATGGAGTCACATCACATTAGACGGTGTACTATACATGGAGTCACATACATTAGACGGTGTACTATACATGGAGTCACATACATTAGACGGTGTACTATACCTGGAGTCACATACATTAGACGGTGTACTATACATGGAGTCACATACATTAGACGGTGTACTATACCTGGAGTCACATACATTAGACGGTGTACTATACCTGGAGTCACATACATTAGACGGTGTACTATACCTGGAGTTCACATACATTAGACGGTGTAGAGTCGGTGTGTACTATACATGGAGTCACATACATTAGACGGTGTACTATACCTGGAGTCACATACATTAGACGGTGTACTATACCTGGAGTCACATACATTAGACGGTGTACTATACCTGGAGTCACATACATTAGACGGTGTACTATACCTGGAGTCACATACATTAGACGGTGTACTATACCTGGAGTCACATACATTAGACGGTGTACTATACCTGGAGTCACATACATTAGACGGTGTACTATACCTGGAGTCACATACATTAGACGGTGTACTATACCTGGAGTCACATACATTAGACGGTGTACTATACCTGGAGTCACATACATTAGACGGTGTACTATACCTGGAGTCATACATTACATTAGACGGTGTACTATACCTGGAGTCACATACATTAGACGGTGTAGTATACCTGGAGTCACATACATTAGACGGTGTACTATACCTGGAGTCACATACATTAGACGGTGTACTATTAACATGGAGTCACATACATTAGACGGTGTACTATACCTGGAGTCACATACATTAGACGGTGTACTATACATGGAGTCACATACATTAGACGGTGTACTATACCTGGAGTATACCTGGAGTCACATACATTAGACGGTGTACTATACCTGGAGTCACATACATTAGACGGTGTACTATACCTGGAGTCACATACATTAGACGGTGTACTATACATGGAGTCACATACATTAGACGGTGTACTGGATACATGGAGTCACATACATTAGACGGTGTAGACGGTACTATACATGGAGTCACATACATTAGACGGTGTACTATACATGGAGTCACATACATTAGACGGTGTACTATACATGGAGTCACATACATTAGACGGTGTACTATACCTGGAGTCACATACATTAGACGGTGTACTATACCTGGAGTCACATACATTAGACGGTGTACTATACCTGGAGTCACATACATTAGACGGTGTACTATACCTGGAGTCACATACATTAGACGGTGTACTATACATGGAGTCACATACATTAGACGGTGTACTATACCTGGAGTCACATACATTAGACGGTGTACTATACCTGGAGTCACATACATTAGACGGTGTACTATACCTGGAGTCACATACATTAGACGGTGTACTATACATGGAGTCACATACATTAGACGGTGTACTATACATGGAGTCACATACATTAGACGGTGTACTATACCTGGAGTCACATACATTAGACGGTGTACTATACCTGGAGTCACATACATTAGACGGTGTACTATACATGGAGTCACATACATTAGACGGTGTACTATACATGGAGTCACATACATTAGACGGTGTACTATACCTGGAGTCACATACATTAGACGGTGTACTATACTATACCTGGAGTCACATACATTAGACGGTGTACTATACCTGGAGTCACATACATTAGACGGTGTACACTACATGGAGTCACATACATTAGACGGTGTACTATACCTGGAGTCACATACATTAGACGGTGTACTATACCTGGAGTCACATACATTAGACGGTGTAGTATACCTGGAGTCACATACATTAGACGGTGTACTATACCCTGGAGTCACATACATTTAGACGTGTACTATACCTGGAGTCACATACATTAGACGGTGTACTATACCTGGAGTCACATACATTAGACGGTGTACTATACCTGGAGTCACATACATTAGACGGTGTACTATACCTGGAGTCACATACATTAGACGGTGTACTATACCTGGAGTCACATACATTAGACGGTGTACTATACCTGGAGTCACATACATTAGACGGTGTACTATACCTGGAGTCACATACATTAGACGGTGTACTATACCTGGAGTCACATACATTAGACGGTGTACTATACCTGGAGTCACATACATTAGACGGTGTACTATACATGGAGTCACATACATTAGACGGTGTAGTATACCTGGAGTCACATACATTAGACGGTGTACACTACATGGAGTCACATACATTAGACGGTGTAGTATACCTGGAGTCACATACATTAGACGGTGTACTATACCTGGAGTCACATACATTAGACGGTGTACACTACATGGAGTCACATACATTAGACGGTGTACTATACATGGAGTCACATACATTAGACGGTGTACTATACATGGAGTCACATACATTAGACGGTGTACTATACATGGAGTCACATACATTAGACGGTGTACTATACATGGAGTCACATACATTAGACGGTGTACTATACATGGAGTCACATACATTAGACGGTGTACTATACATGGAGTCACATACATTAGACGGTGTACTAGTACATGGAGTCACATACATTAGACGGTGTACTATACATGGAGTCACATACATTAGACGGTGTACTATACATGGAGTCACATACATTAGACGGTGTACTATACATGGAGTCACATACATTAGACGGTGTACTATACCTGGAGTCACATACATTAGACGGTGTACTATACCTGGAGTCACATACATTAGACGGTGTACTATACATGGAGTCACATACATTAGACGGTGTACTATACATGGAGTCACATACATTAGACGGTGTACTATACATGGAGTCACATACATTAGACGGTGTACTATACCTGGAGTCACATACATTAGACGGTGTACACTACATGGAGTCACATACATTAGACGGTGTACTATACATGGAGTCACATACATTAGACGGTGTACTATACATGGAGTCACATACATTAGACGGTGTACTATACCTGGAGTCACATACATTAGACGGTGTACTATACATGGAGTCACATACATTAGACGGTGTACTATACATGGAGTCACATACATTAGACGGTGTACTATACCTGGAGTCACATACATTAGACGGTGTACTATACCTGGAGTCACATACATTAGACGGTGTACTATACATGGAGTCACATACATTAGACGGTGTACTATACATGGAGTCACATACATTAGACGGTGTACTATACATGGAGTCACATACATTAGACGGTGTACTATACATGGAGTCACATACATTAGACGGTGTACTATACCTGGGAGTCACATACATTAGACGGTGTACTATACCTGGAGTCACATACATTAGACGGTGTACTATACATGGAGTCACATACATTAGACGGTGTACTATACACATGGAGTCACATACATACATTAGACGGTGTACTATACCTGGAGTCACATACATTAGACGGTGTACTATACCTGGAGTCACATACATTAGACGGTGTACTCTACATGGAGTCACATACATTAGACGGTGTACTATACATGGAGTCACATACATTAGACGGTGTACTATACATTGAGTCACATACATTAGACGGTGTACACTACATGGAGTCACATACATTAGACGGTGTACTATACATGGAGTCACATACATTAGACGGTGTACTATACATGGAGTCACATACATTAGACGGTGTACTATACATGGAGTCACATACATTAGACGGTGTACTATACCTGGAGTCACATACATTAGACGGTGTACTATACATGGAGTCACATACATTAGACGGTGTACTATACCTGGAGTCACATACATTAGACGGTGTACTATACATGGAGTCACATACATTAGACGGTGTACTATACATGGAGTCACATACATTAGACGGTGTACTATACCTGGAGTCACATACATTAGACGGTGTACTATACCTGGAGTCACATACATTAGACGGTGTACTATACAGGGAGTCACATACATTAGACGGTGTACTATACCTGGGTCCATACATTAGACGGTGTACTATAACCTGACATACATTAGATGGTGTACACTACATGGAGTCACATACATTAGACGGTGTACTATACATCACTGTGTGACGAGAAATACATTAGACGGTGGCCTATACATGCAGAACACAGGAGGGATGATACATTCGGAGTGCCCGTGACCTGTGACCAGCGGATGAGATACATCATCCAGACGTGACCACCAAAGACAGGTGACAGAGAAGTGATAGAAGGTACGCCAAAAAGAGCGGGAAGGCTTGAGAATAAAGTGAGTCCCGGAAACCGCTGGAGAGGACAGTTAGCCACGGAACCGCTTGATAGGACAGGTTAGGAGAAAACTAGTGATTTAGACTTCGTGTTTAGAAGGTATATGTTAAACTTGGAGTTTAGCTAGAACAGTGGTTAAGGAACTCGTAGAGAGTCATACGAATAGCCTGTATCCAGATAATACAGTGTTCATATACTATTGAATTTATGAAGCCTCTATGACTGGAATATTGTAAATAAACAGCTCTTGTGTAATTGTTACATCACTGGCCTTGTTCTTGAGTACGATTGAAGAGAGATACGAACTATATTCATTCACTTGGCCGACTTAGGCACATCTATTTCTTGGGGGATGTATAGGCACGACTGTGCCACACATGGAGTCACATACATTAGACGGTGTACTATACCTGGAGTCACATACATTAGACGGTGAACTATACATGGAGTCAAATACATTTTACGTTGTACTATACCTGGAGTCACATACATTAGACGGTGTACTATACCTGGAGTCACATACATTAGACGGTGTACTATACCTGGAGTCACATACATTAGACGTTGTACTATACCTGGAGTCACATACATTAGACGGTGTAAGTGTCTGGACCACATTCTTCTGCTCACCAAATGTGAAGAATCAGCTTATGTGTCTCTCTACTCTCAATCTCTACACACCAGACAATCTCCACTCTCAATCTCTACACACCAGACAATCTCCACTCTCAATCTCTACACACGAGACAATCTCTACTCTCAATCTCTACACACGAGACAATCTCTACTCTCAATCTCTACACACGAGACAATCTCCACTCTCAATCTCTACACACCAGACAATCTCTACTCTCAATCTCTACACACCAGACAATCTCTACACACCAGACAATCTCTACACACCAGACACTCTCTACTCTCAATCTCTACACACCAGACAATCTCTACTCTCAATCTCTACACACGAGACAATCTCTACTCTCAATCTCTACACACCAGACAATCTCTACTCTCAATCTCTACACACCAGACAATCTCTACACACCAGACAATCTCTACACACCAGACAATCTCTACACACCAGACAATCTCTACACACCAGACAATCTCTACACACCAGACAATCTCTACACACCAGACACTCTCTACACACCAGACACTCTCTACACACCAGACAATCTCTACACACCAGACACTCTCTACACACCAGACAATCTCTACACACCAGACAATCTCTACACACCAGACAATCTCTACACACCAGACAATCTCTACACACCAGACAATCTCTACACACCAGACACTCTCTACACACCAGACAATCTCTACACACCAGACACTCTCTACACACCAGACAATCTCTACACACCAGACAATCTCTACACACCAGACAATCTCTACACACCAGACAATCTCTACACACCAGACAATCTCTACACACCAGACAATCTCTACACACCAGACAATCTCTACACACCAGACAATCTCTACACACCAGACACTCTCTACTCTCAATCTCTACACACCAGACAATCTCTACACACCAGACAATCTCTACACACCAGACACTCTATACACACCAGACACTCTCTACACACCAGACACTCTCTACACACCAGACAATCTCTACTCTCAATCTCTAGACACCAGACAATCTCTACACACCAGACAATCTTTACACACCAGACACTCTCTACACACCAGACAATCTCTACTCTCAATCTCTAGACACCAGACAATCTCCACTCTCAATCTCTACACACCAGACAATCTCTACTCTCAATCTCTACACACCAGACAATCTCTACTCTCAATCTCTACACACCAGACACTCACTACTCTCAATCTCTACACACCAGACAATCTCTACACACCAGACAATCTCTACTCTCAATCTCTACACACCAGACACTCACTACTCTCAATCTCTACACACCAGACACTCTCTACTCTCAATCTCTACACACCAGACACTCACTACTCTCAATCTCTACACACCAGACACTCTCTACACACCAGACAATCTCTACACACCAGACAATCTCTACACACCAGACACTCACTACTCTCAATCTCTACACACCAGACACTCTCTACACACCAGACAATCTCTACACACCAGACAATCTCTACACACCAGACAATCTCTACACACCAGACAATCTCTACACACCAGACAATCTCTACACACCAGACAATCTCTACACACCAGACAATCTCTACACACCAGACAATCTCTACACACCAGACAATCTCTACACACCAGACAATCTCTACACACCAGACAATCTGTACACACCAGACAATCTCTACACACCAGACAATCTCTACACACCAGACAATCTCTACACACCAGACAATCTCTACACACCAGACAATCTCTACACACGAGACAATCTCTACACACCAGACAATCTCTACACACCAGACAATCTCTACACACCAGACAATCTCTACACACCAGACAATCTCTACACACCAGACAATCTCTACACACCAGACAATCTCTACACACGAGACACTCTCTACACACCAGACAATCTCTACACACCAGACAATCTCTACACACCAGACACTCTCTACACACCAGACACTCTCTACACACCAGACAATCTCTACACACCAGACAATATCTACACACCAGACAATCTTTACACACCAGACAATCTCTACACACCAGACAATCTCTACACACGAGACAATCTCTACACACCAGACAATCTCTACACACCAGACAATCTCTACACACGAGACACTCTCTACACACCAGACAATCTCTACACACCAGACAATCTCTACACACCAGACAATCTCTACACACCAGACAATCTCTACACACCAGACAATCTCTACACACGAGACACTCTCTACACACCAGACAATCTCTACACACCAGACAATCTCTACACACCAGACACTCTCTACACACCAGACACTCTCTACACACCAGACAATCTCTACACACCAGACACTCTCTACACACCAGACAATCTCTACACACCAGACAATCTCTACACACCAGACAATCTCTACACACCAGACAATCTCTACACACCAGACAATCTCTACACACCAGACAATCTCTACACACCAGACACTCTCTACACACCAGACACTCTCTACACACCAGATAATCTCTACACACCAGACAATCTCTACACACCAGACAATCTCTACACACCAGACAATCTCTACACACCAGACAATCTCTACACACCAGACAATCTCTACACACCAGACAATCTCTACACACGAGACACTCTCTACACACCAGACAATCTCTACACACCAGTCAATCTCTACACACCAGACAATCTCTACACACCAGACAATCTCTACACACCAGACAATCTCTACACACCAGACAATCTCTACACACCCGACAATCTCTACACACCAGACAATCTCTACACACCAGACAATCTCTACACACCAGACAATCTCTACACACGAGACACTCTCTACACACCAGACAATCTCTACACACCAGACAATCTCTACACACCAGACACTCTCTACACACCAGACACTCTCTACACACCAGACAATCTCTACACACCAGACACTCTCTACACACCAGACAATCTCTACACACCAGACAATCTCTACACACCAGACAATCTCTACACACCAGACAATCTCTACACACCAGACAATCTCTACACACGAGACACTCTCTACACACCAGACACTCTCTACACACCAGACAATCTCTACACACCAGACAATCTCTACACACCAGACAATCTCTACACACCAGACAATCTCTACACACCAGACAATCTCTACACACGAGACAATCTCTACACACCAGACAATCTCTACACACCAGACAATCTCTACACACCAGTCAATCTCTACACACCAGACAATCTCTACACACCAGACAATCTCTACACACCAGACAATCTCTACACACCAGACACTCTCTACACACCAGACACTCTCTACACACCAGACAATCTCTACACACCAGACAATCTCTACACACGAGACAATCTCTACTCTCAATCTCTACACACCAGACACTCACTACTCTCAATCTCTACACACCAGACACTCTCTACACACCAGACACTCTCTACACACCAGACAATCTCTACACACCAGACAATCTCTACACACCAGACACTCACTACTCTCAATCTCTACACACCAGACAATCTCTACACACCAGACAATCTCTACACACCAGACAATCTCTACACACCAGACAATCTCTACACACCAGACAATCTCTACTCTCAATCTCTACACACCAGACAATCTCTACACACCAGACAATCTCTACACACCAGACAATCTCTACTCTCAATCTCTACACACCAGACAATCTCTACACACCAGACACTCTCTACACACCAGACAATCTCTACTCTCAATCTCTACACACCAGACAATCTCTACTCTCAATCTCTACACACCAGACAATCTCTACTCTGAATCTCTACACACCAGACAATCTCTACACACCAGACAATCTCTACTCTCAATCTCTACACACCAGACACTCTCTACACACCAGACACTCTCTACACACCAGACAATCTCTACTCTCAATCTCTACACACCAGACAATCTCTACTCTCAATCTCTACACACCAGACAATCTCTACTCTCAATCTCTACACACCAGACAATCTCTACTCTCAATCTCTACACACCAGACAATCTCTACACACCAGACAATCTCTACACACCAGACAATCTCTACACACCAGACAATCTCTACACACCAGACAATCTCTACACACCAGACAATCTCTACACACCAGACAATCTCTACACACTAGACAATCTCTACACACCAGACAATCTCTACACACCAGACAATCTCTACTCTCAATCTCTACACACCAGACAATCTCTACACACCAGACAATCTCTACACACCAGACAATCTCTACACACCAGACAATCTCTACACACCAGACAATCTCTACACACCAGACAATCTGTACACACGAGACACTCTCTACACACCAGACAATCTCTACTCTCAATCTCTACACACCAGACAATCTCTACACACCAGACAATCTCTACACACCAGACAATCTCTACTCTCAATCTCTACACACCAGACAATCTCTACACACCAGACAATCTCTACACACCAGACAATCTCTACACACCAGACAATCTCTACACACCAGACAATCTCTATTCTCAATCTCTACACACCAGACAATCTCTACACACCAGACAATCTCTACACACCAGACAATCTCTACTCTCAATCTCTACACACCAGACAATCTCTACACACCAGACAATCTCTACACACCAGACAATCTCTATACACCAGACAATCTCTACACACCAGACACTCTCTACACACCAGACAATCTCTACTCTCAATCTCTACACACCAGACACTCACTACTCTCAATCTCTACACACCAGACAATCTCTACACACCAGACACTCACTACTCTCAATCTCTACACACCAGACAATCTCTACACACCAGACAATCTCTACATACCAGACACTCTCTACACACCAGACAATCTCTACACACCAGACAATCTCTACACACCAGACAATCTCTACACACCAGACAATCTCTACACACCAGACAATCTCTACACACCAGACAATCTCTACACACCAGACAATCTCTACTCTCAATCTCTACACACCAGACAATCACTACTCTCAATCTCTACACACCAGACAATCTCTACACACCAGACAATCTCTACACACCAGACAATCTCTACACACCAGACAATCTCTACTCTCAATCTCTACACACCAGACAATCTCTACACACCAGACAATCTCTACTCTCAATCTCTACACACCAGACAATCTCTACACACCAGACAATCTCTACACACCAGACAATCTCTACTCTCAATCTCTACACACCAGACAATCACTACACACCAGACAATCTCTACACACCAGACAATCTCTACTCTCAATCTCTACACAACAGACAATCTCTACACACCAGACAATCTCTACACACCAGACAATCTCTACAC